TATATGCGCAAAATCTCAGTTAATCCACTGAGCTATATCTGAGATCTCTAAGCAGACAAATTCACGACATAAACTAACCAAAATCAAATTCCAGAAAACATACAACAATTTTAGCTAATGCTCAAAATCGTAATTTGATTCCAAACATTCAGCATTCGCCAAAAGATGTTCCCAAAGTTGTAGGAGAAACCAATTTTTTATGCAAACACGGAAAAGAAAGAACAAAAAAAAAAACCCAGATCTGAAATTCAAACAACAAAAGGGAGATAAAAAGTACAGCTAAGAAAATCAAATCGCAGAATCCCCCAAATTTTTTTTTTTAAAAAAAAAAGGTAATTCGAAAATCATTATTTCCATCAAGCATCAAATCAATGACGAATCAGAGAGAAGGGAGACAAATCGAACAAGGAAAGAGAGAGAGATCCTACCAGGTCTAAAATGAAGGGAAGAAAATACACAAAAACGTAACGCCAAATTTCTCCAGAGTCTCTCCAAACCCTAAAAATTCTCTCCTTCTTCAAAGCTGTGCCTCCCTGGCTCACGATCTCCTTTTTTTCCTTTTTCTTTTTTCTCAATTCTCAGTTTTTCCCGATTCTCAATACTTTTTTTCGGGAAAAATAAAAAATATTAATTTTTTTTTTGTAAGAGAGATATGAGAAAAAAAATGTGGAGAAAGTCTGTAAGGTGGGTGAGAGAGAAATGTGGATGAGATGGCTTTTTATATCATTTGCATTCTTCTTCTCTCTTCTAGTAGGGCAAGTTTCAAAACAAATTTGTATTTCTATATTTCCCATTTTACCCTTTTCTTGTTACAAGATTGTTAACCTAATTAGGCAAATTTATTGATTTTTTAATGTACTCAAAATTTCTTTCTTCAAATTTGTCTAGCACGCAAAACGTTGATTGATTGATTGCTTTCGTGGGAAATTTCTTTGGATTTGACTAGTTTTTCACTGGAAAAGAAAATCCATTGTTTTTTTTCTAATCGGACTAATCATCATCATAATAAAGTATTTTGTAAGAGAAAAAGACACATATCAGAATGTGTTTAGTATAAGCAGACTTGTCAATTTTGGCACCGACGTTGTTGTAAATACACATATAAGTGGGCAGAGACGACAACAAGGTACATGTGCATCAATCTCTTTCTTTCCTTTTGTACTAGTAGTTTTTATTAAAGACGAAAGATACAACATTTAAACGACAACCTAACAAGTCTTCTTAAGAGTTTTTTTTTTTTTTANTTAAACCATAAAACTTTGTTGTTCGTAAAGTCAATGGTCTCAATTAGAAATTTGTATCACTGAAAACGTAAACTTTTTAAAAAACTATACCACGTAAAAAGAAAAAGAAAAAAAACAACCTGAAACGATATCAAATTTTTGACAACGTTAAGCTAGGACCGATACGACTACATGGGCAAAGATACATTTGGAGAGCAAATGTATAATCAGGAAAAATACAAGCTACTATGATCAAAGGTTACAAAGATCCAAAACCAAAGCGAACAAAATCTGCGTTTGTCTTACAAAATACACATAAATTTAGATGATATCTTAACTGGATCTAAGAACATCTTTAACCTTAACACCCATTAAAATGTCTTAAGTCATTTTTTAATATTATTTGTTTTAAGACTCTTGTCTTAAGGTTCAATACATATAACCTTTCTCATCAAAGTGCATAAAATTTATTATATTTTAATGAAAAAGGTGTTAGAACACCAAAAAAAAATCACCATTAATGATGCTCTAAGTGTCACCAAGTAATTGTTGAAGTCCGCGACATTGGCTACTTGGTGACAATCATCACCAAAAAGCCTTTTGATATTTCTTCCTTGATCATGAAATTAATTTGTGGTCAGCAGATTGAATACGCTTACAAGTTCTATGACCTCATCGATCACACTTAATATCGGTGTGATGTTTCCGGATTGCCTGTGTTAATATCGAAAAAATGTGTCTTGTTTCACTGTTTCATACATGTAAATAATATCGGAAAATAGTGTTACATTTACTTTTGGGTCTAAAATATAGAGCTCATAATCGAAAGCTTTATCTGCCTATGTGTTCGGACCGGGCATGATGACATTCTCCATAGACGTATAGACTTTTTCGTTAGTTGCATTTGTATATTTATTTTCTTAAACCGAACCTAGGACGGTTGTAGGATAACAACATGTAGGAACGTTTGCATTTGCAGAATATGATATTGAATGGCAAGTTGTGATCGATTGTTAAGAATTTTTATTATGTGTTAGAAAAACCTTGTTAGTTCATATAGTCTTTCTCTACTCAAGTAGAAAAGGTCACTAGCTTGTACAAACAATGGAAATTAATGTAGGAATATATGATGATGATGATGTCTACTTAAAAAAAATTCATACTAGGAATTAAATCTATTTATACATTGTGGAATGATTTCTTAGCTATGGGCTATGGCTAAGATAATTAAACCTTAATTTTTTAAAAATCATTAAAATCTCTTTCATTTGTTGTTCGTAACAATATTAATTTTATCGAAGTGTTAGTATTTTCCCAATTCATAATAATTTAATTTTAGATGCAAGTTTCATTTTTAGTTAAATCTTAATATGCACATATTGCTCCAATCAGGAAGCGATGAGGAGATACAGGATAGAACCAAAAAACAAACTGATAAGGTCCAAACAGTAGAAAATACACTCACCTTCTTCTTCTCCTATCTTCAAAAATGGCGATGACTCCTGTTGCATCATCATCTCCAGTTTCAACGTACCGTCTCTTTCGCTCCGATTTCATACCTAAGCCTCCGTTTCTCTCCCTCACTAAACGGAACAGAGGCGCGTCGTCGTACCGGTTCACTGTACGTGCCTCCGCAAGTGCCACCGTCGAATCTCCAAACGGCGTCGCTGCGTCGAATTCAGAGATCGAGAGTTCCTCCTATGGCCGACAGTTCTTCCCTTTGGCTGCAGTCGTCGGTCAGGTTAGAGAATTTTGCTCCTTGTACTACTCAGACACTTTTGTTTCCTGCAATTTGATCCAGTAGGTTACAGAATTGTACTCAATTTTCGATTAATCACCTCTATCAAGTGCAGCTACGAATGGGATTTTCTCGGGTCGGGTCACCATTTCGTGTGGTTTAAGTTTGTACATGTCTTATGATCATAAATGGTTTGATATAGCTGGATTGGGTTATTAAGGGAAGCATCAGTGAAATGTGTTATGTGACTTTTACCTAGATTATGTGAATGTGCCACAGAGTATTTAATTGAAGAAATTGTGTAGAATCAATGAAAGGAATTGTTGGCTCAGGCATTTGTTCTTTCTAGTCTACCAGATGTATGTCTAGCTTCACAATTAATGTTTCTTTGTTATGTTGTTTTATAGGAAGGCATAAAAACTGCTCTTCTACTTGGCGCGGTTGATCGTGAAATCGGAGGGATTGCTATTTCAGGTCGTAGAGGGACTGCGAAAACAATCATGGCTCGAGGATTACATGCAATCCTCCCTCCTATAGAAGTTGTTGTTGGCTCAATATCAAATGCTGACCCGGCCTGCCCGGATGAGTAAGAATCTTACAACGCGAAATCGAAACTTTTTTCTTTTCTTTTATTTCCATCCTCCTCTTCTCAGCTCATAGATTGCTGGCTTGTAACCTTTGTGATATATATAGGTGGGAAGACGACTTAGCTGAGCGCATAGAGTACAATGATGATAAAAGCGTTAAGACTGAGATCGTCAAATCTCCATTTATTCAGGTACATTTGGTTTTAGGAGCCATTGCAACTTTTCTGAAGTAGCTTTCTTATTTACTTTGGTTTTTTTCTGTCATTCTTATTACACAGATTCCTCTAGGAGTCACAGAAGACAGGCTCATTGGGTCTGTTGATGTCGAGGAGTCTGTGAAAAGGGGGACAACTGTTTTCCAACCTGGTCTTTTGGCTGAAGCCCATAGGGGAGTGTTATATGTTGATGAAATAAATCTCTTAGATGAGGGCATTAGTAATTTGCTTCTCAATGTATTGACGGATGGTGTTAATATAGTTGAAAGAGAAGGTATCAGCTTTAGGCACCCATGCAAGCCACTATTAATTGCAACCTATAACCCTGAAGAAGGTGCTGTTAGAGAGCACTTGCTAGACCGTGTTGCCATTAATTTAAGGTATTGCAGGAGTTAATGAATCGAGAATTTTTAAATGGTCTATTTCTGTTGTTAATTCCTAGTTCTTTTGCTTTTTACATCACCATGATTAACATTTGCAGTGCAGACCTTCCTATGAGTTTTGAAGATCGCGTCGCAGCAGTTGGAATTGCCACACAGTTTCAGGAACACAGTAATGAGGTTTTTAGGATGGTAGATGAAGAGACAGAAACAGCAAAGACCCAGGTATGTTGAAATGAATTAAGAAAAACAGAGCCGGTATCAAACTTTTATCGGTCATAACCCAGTGCCTTTTCTCTGGCTGCAGATTATATTGGCTAGAGAATATTTGAAAGATGTCAAGATAAGTAGAGATCAATTGAAGTATCTGGTTTTGGAAGCTGTCCGAGGTGGTTGTCAGGTGCTGTGTAAAATTTCTAAATTACTTGTGTGTTTAGTAACGTATTCTTTGAAGAAAAAAGATAAACACGAAGAGAGGACGAGATGGATGTAAGATAATGTCACGGATATAGACTTCAAGTAGTGTAGTCATTGTATTCTAAGTATGGATAGAGTTGATCTTCTAAAAAATTGGATAATGAAGGGCTTGGCATTGCGTGCTTTTGCTGCGCAGCTGATTGTGATGTTTCACCATTTTGTTAGCATATCACTATGATATGTCGTGTTTGGAGTACTTAGTATTAATTCTAATTGCCTACCCTTTTTCTTTTTCGATGACTACCTGGACATTGTTTAATACTACGTCCTCCAATAACAAATTTATGATACAGGGACACCGCGCCGAATTATATGCATCCCGTGTGGCGAAGTGCTTAGCTGCACTTGAAGGGCGAGAAAAAGTCACTATTGATGACCTCAGAAAGGCCGTTAAGTACTCTTCTTTGGCTCCTTTATTTATTGCTTTTTGCCAAAACGATCAAGCAAGCCATAATTTTTTTTTATGTTTTCTAGCATAAACATTTTCTCGCTACTCGCTAGATAGTCATTGGTGTTAAGAGATTGATGCGAACAAAAATTTCCTTTGTCTATAATTGGACATCTTCACAGAAATTTTAATTGGCATTGTAGATTGAGACTTTATCATGCTTTGGAGTATTTACGTCACTCACCTGATATTGATTTGCAAATGTGGTCCATCTTTAATAGGTTGAACTGGTCATTCTTCCTCGTTCGGACGTAGTTGAGACTCCACCTGATCAACAAAACCAACAACCACCTCCTCCACCTCCTCCACAAAGTAATGATTCTGG